AAAGAGATGATCACTTTCTCCTGGTCTGCCTCTGCCATCCTCTGGGGCTGTCAGGCCACACCTGATGTCCGCTTGGTCTTCCACTCGAGGAGTTGATCCCCGCCACCCAATTTCTCAGGGAGCCACAGACTCGGGCTGGAGCAAGAATCTGCTCTTTGCCGGAAAAGGAAATAAGTCCCAGGTCTTACCCAGGGTGACCACGTTCTTGTCTCGCCTTCTGGAAAAGAATTTCAGGAGTAGACGGGCAGTGAAGTAAAAGAGATTTTATTTGGAGGTTTTTGAAGGTGAGGAGGGAGAGAAAGTGAGTGAGAGAGTAACTCACTCAAGGAAGAACATGGGCTTCTCCCAGGGTAGAGAGACCCCTACACACACCCCAGCATTAGAGAGGGATGTTCACACCTCAAGAGGGGAGATGCGGGCACCACATGTGCCCGGCCACGTGGGCACAAGGAGCACATGGGCTCGGGCAGCATCTGCAGGCCCTTCCTTTGTTCAAGGTGGCTTTTATAGGGTTTTCCCAAGCTACCCCCACTTGGGGCTTTCCAACTATATGAGTCTGTTGCTAGGATTGCTGCTAAGTGGTAGAGTTGGGAGTGGTCTTCTTTGAAACTCCTCTTCTTGACCTTGTTCCTGCTGGATCTTCTCTTGGAGGGTGGGTCCAGCCTTCTCTGTCTGGGCTAGTTGAGGGTTAATAAAAGTAAGGAATTGGGGGGAGTGCTCTCCAGTAATTTCCTTCAGGCTCTTTCTGCGGGGAGGGGCCATCTCCTCAGGGTCCACTGCTGAAGAAGAACTTATCAGGTCTTGCTTTATGTGTCCACATGGTGGGTCAGACTTAGGACTTCACTGTATCACTGTCATCCCGTTGTTCATCGATTTACTCGAGTGGGTGCCAGTAACGTCTCCATTTATCCCAGCCCTGAGATTTTAGCAGCCTCTCCTTACTCATCTTCCCCAATGTTGCCATCCTGAAGGCTCTTTCAGGGTCAGAGGAAAGAGACCCATTAGTGTTACTATTTTTGGCATATCAAATATGTCATGGGTAGCTTGCCAGGCTCTGCCATGTGGGAGGGATACTCTAGGTAGCTTGCCGGGCTCTCCAAGAGGAATATATATATATATTTCCCTCTATGATTTGTTGCCTGCTGTCTGAACCCCATCAAATATGGTGTGGTAATTATGGAAAATGGGTAGGGAGTGTCTTATGATGTGTCCAAGAATATGTTCATTCATGCGTGAGGCTCAGACCGAGTGTCTGGAAAGCGGCCTGGAGCATGGCGGCGGTTGGGTAGTGGAGGTAGTCTGCCAGGGCTGGGTCCCGCCCCCCTCTGGGGCACCCTGAGTCAAAACAGCCTGGCGCAGAGTCCCATGGCATGGTTATGGGGGTCTCATTTTATGCTCCCTTCTGAGAGAAGCAGCCATGAGTTCTGAAGGGTGGCCGATGAGATTATTTAACGCCTGCAAAAGGCGGCTTTACAGGTGTGACCCCTGGGTCGCTGGAGACTGGGGGACTTCACTACTTAAACATTTTATTTTCAATCCAGGTGGCTTTATTTTCTAGAGATTTCATTGCCACGGGGCCTTCCCTGCCTATCCCTGCCTACATTGCTATCATAAACCACAACAGCTCAATAAAAATAACGACAAACCATCTCAGGGGCCGCAGCGATCGAAGCGCTAGCGAGTGAGGCCTGGTGCGTGGCAGACCAGTCCTGACAGGCGTGATTCCCGAGCAGTCAGCAGTAACCCTGAGCACTGCCGGGTGTGGCCCCCAAATCACAGAAACAGAGGATTTCAAAATCAGGTGTGCCTTGGAAGACTCATAGACGTGGGAAAATGACAGGAGAAAAAGTTGGAAAATGGGCCTGTGAAAGGTGAGTCACATTCCTAGAATCACTCCTTCCCAGCCAGAGGGAGCGCAGGGCGGGGCAGGGTGGGATGCTTGCCTTGCAGTCTGTGGCAGACTGAGAAAAAGCCTCAGATTCCCCTGGCCAATGTCCCCCTCCTACCTTTTTTTTTTTTTTTTTGGATCTTACCCGGCAATGGTCAGGCGTTACTCCTGACTGCACTCAGAAATTACTCCTGGCGGTGGTGCTGGGGGACCATATGGGATGCTGGGGATCAAACTAGGATCAAATTAGGATCAAACTGGGATCAAATTGGCGTGCAAATGCCCTCCCAGTGGACTGTCACTCCAGTCCCCCCCTCCCCTCCTCTTCCTGGCCTCTTTTTTTTTTTTTTGCTTCTTTTTCGGGTCACACCCGGTGGTGCACAGGGGTTACTCCTGGCTCTGCACTCAGAAATTACTCCTGGGGGTGCTCAGGGGACCATATGGGATTCTGGGAATCGAACCCGAACCTGGATCGGCTGCATGCAAGGCCAGCACCCTACCGGCTGTATCCTGGACTCTTTCTGATTAACTGTCCACCATAAAATTCTGGTGAGGCTCACCTGAAGACTGAGATAATGGACAACACCTAAGGCAAGGGGCCAGGGAAGGGTCTTTAGGACCTCGCATTCTCCACAACATTCTTGCCCCTTGATAAGAAATGAAAGAGCCCCATTTCCATTAAAAGGCCACGCAACAAACCCTTATCTCTGACTTCCCTGGCTTTCTCTAACACAAAGGCCCAGTGTTCCCATAAAAACCTAAGAAAAGGGCCATAGTTAACTTGGTCCTAGATCAAGTTCCACCCCACAGGGGAGTTCTCCTTTCCCTTCTACTTTCCAATAAACATTTCTAACTCTGGGCATCTTTGTTACTCTGCATTTTCATTCTTGAGACTATTGAACCATCAGAGACCAGCCCTCAGTGCTCTGGCATTCAAACTCCGTGTTTGATCTGACTGGAGCGATAGCACAGCAGTAGGGCGTTTGCCTTGTGCGCAGCCAGCCCAGCCAAGCCAGGTTTGATTATCTCGCCCGCACAGCAAAGCCTGGCAAGCTACCTGTGATGTATTCGATATGCCAAACACAGTAACAATTGTCACAATGGAGACGTTACTGGGCCAGCTCGAGCAAACTGATGAGCAACGTGAGGACAGTGACAGTGTTTTGATTGATCTGACAGCCCGCAGTGAGCACTGAGCAGGGAGCACCACCAGGACCATACATTTTGTTTGTTTGTTTGTTTGGTTGGTTTTTCCTTCCAGTTTTGGGCCCACACATGGCAGTGCTCTGGGCTTACTCAGGGGTCACTCCTGGTGACGCTCAGAGAAGATTCTGTGCAGTGCCCGCAAGGGAACCCCAGCAAGCACACTGCTTGATAAAACTATTTTCTAGTTCCAAACCATACATTCTTCTTTTGGTTTCGGAGTCATACCAGTGATGCTTAGGGGCTACTTCTGGTGGTGTTAGGGGGACCTTCCCTCTGGTGCTTGGGGACTGGATAGATCGGCTGCAAGGCAAACGACCTAGCTGCTGTGCTACTGATTGCAGCAGGAGCTGAGCTGTAGAGCGTCACTTTGAAGTCTCTGTCCATGGATCAGGTAGCCAATCAGGAAGTAGAACCGGAGAGTTGGGGGGCTAGGATTTGGCAACAGATAAATGGAAACCCCCAGCCCCATCTCTCTGAACACATGGACTCTGAACTCTCCCCAGACAGGTGTTGACATGCACCAAGACATGGCCCAGTAGAGGCGGCCAGACAGGGCCAAGTATAGACAGGGCTGATGGCCAGGACAGCTCAGGTACAGGCAGGGTGATGGCCAGGATAGCTCTGGTACAGAGGGCTCAGGTGCCCAGGGTATCTCAGGTACAGACAGGGCTGATGCCCAGGATAGCTCAGGTACAGGAGGGCTCAGGTGTGCAGAACAATAGCTTAGGTCCAGGAGGGTTCAGGTGCCCAGGACAGTTCAGGTCCAGGAGGGCTGTGACAAGGTACTGAGCACAGGACCCTCACCCACATGCACGTGGCCATCGCCAGGGAATAGAAAAACCAGGACCAGATGACAGGAACTGCTAGGGGGACAGCTGGGAGGCCCAGTGTTGGGGCGGAACACAGGGACCTTGCCCAAACACTGGGCTATGGCCGGAGATGGGGAAGGTGCCCACGGGAGAGAGCAGCTCAGGGACAGGACCTGGTCATCGTTCCTTGGTACAAGAGAGGCCTGGACGACTGGGGAGATCTGGAACCATCCACCATTACTATACAATAGATTAACTTTCAATCTTCCGAGTTTTGTGTGCAAATCTTTCCTACAATTTTCAAGAACCCACCAGCACAGGAAAATCTGCCTTCACACCAACACCATCCCGACAACCCACCCCCATACCCCAGATCATACATACCTTATCTGGAGAACTTGGCGCTATCTGGCCAGTGTGAGAGGCCGGCAGATGCCTTGGCGTTCTCAGGGACAGGCAATTCTGGTTCACGAGATGTGGGGCAGATGCCTGTTCCTGGGACCACGCTGAGCGCCGTGCCTCGTGGACAGACGGGCTCCGTAGGCTGCCGCTGAAAGAGCGTCACACAAACTTGTGCTGGGCAGCTGCTGTCCCCCAGGACACTCGACTTCTTTGGTCTTAAATCCAGCCAGGGCATAGGGTCGGTGCAAGCCCTCCGGGCGGGCGCGACAGGCCGCTGCGAACCCGGAGACCGGGTGCGCTCTGAGCCGGACCCGCAGCTCTAGGGCGCGGGGCGGGAAGGTTCAAATCCGCCTTTCCCGCACCCGGCGGGGAGGCGGCCAGGGCAGAAGCGGCGGGATTTGCAGCGCTGCTTCCCAGGTGGGACTCCGAGACCACGGGCCCGGGCTCGGGGGTTGCCCGCACACCAGACGCCCCGACTCCAGATCGGGCTCGCCCACAGCATCCCTTCCCCTACTGCACGGTGAGCCCGGGGATCCCCGACGGCCTTTACCTTCTTGGAGGGGGCAGCGCTCGTGGGCATCATGTTTCCGGGCGGTGCCCACGCGGACACGCCCCCGGGGCCTGGCACGTCCCGCGCGCGTTGGTGATTCCGCGTTCCCGCGGCGGGGTGGAGGGGCGCCGCTGGCGCCAGGCGCATGGCGCAGGGCTCGGGGCAGAAGGAGGGCCGAGGGCGCGACCCCGGCGTGCGGGGCGGGGTTGCCATGGCAATAGCCCCCTCCCCACCCCTGCCCCCCGTGATCCGGCCGAGGGAGGGGATTGGTGCGCCGGGTGCGGGGCGGGCCGGCGGGAGCGCTTAAAGGTTCCCGCGCTGGGGCCCCCGGGCCCGCTCGCCGCCTTCCGCCCCGTGCACGTGCTTTTCGGCCGGGTTGCCGCGCCGTCCCGGGAATCGCGCGCGCAGGTCAGTGCCCAGGTGTCCCCGGCGCCCTGGGCCCCGTCCCGCGACCGATCCCCCTGGTGGCTCGAGGGTGGGTCGCCCGGCGCGGGTGGCCCGGACCTCGGGAGCCGCGCGCCTCGGGACGTGCGCCCCGGGCGGGCGGGAGCGCGGGGAGGGCGCGGGCACTGCTGACGTGGACACCCCCGCCGGGAGGTCAGCTCGGAGCGCTGTGGGGACGGGTGCCGCGCGGGCCGAAAGGTGAGAGCTGGGGCGCCGCCGGCCTGGGCACCGTGCTCCGAGGAGGTCCGCTCCGGAGGGCTTCAGGGGTGGACGTCGCTCCCGGAGCGGAGAGCTGGGACCCCTGTACAGAGCCGCTGAGATTCGGGATGCAGCTGGGGTGGGCACCTGGGCACCCGCGCCCGGGGCTGGGACAGGCGCGGCTGTGCCAGAACCGGTTGGTCCTGCATCTCCCGCCGAGGGTGACGCCGCGCGCTTTCCCAGGGACCCGGGCCTGGACGCAGCCCGCGCCCCCGCCCTAGGGACCCCCGGAACCACCCCGGCGCACAGCCGGTCCCAGCCCGCGCTTTCGCCTGTCGCCGTGTCGGCGTGTGCGCGGGGCTCACGCGTGGCCCCGCGCCCAGGGGACCATCTGGAGGCCGCGGATCCCGAGGGCACGGCGCATGGGACAGGTATCTGCGCGCCCCCCGCGCCCCTGGTGCCCGACCTTCCTACTGCCCCCAGCCCGGATCGGGGGTGTGGCCCGGGACCTCTGACCGGCTGGGCGCTGCGGAGAGGTGCCCAGAGGTGGGGACGGTGCCCCCGAACCCGAGCGGAACCCCGCGTCCCTGCCCGACCTGATCGCGCAGCCCTCTGAGGCGGGAGCAGCCGGTGAAGGGACACGTCTGTGACCAACCTACTCAGCCACTGGGCAGCTTTGCAAACTGTCGGGGGTCTCGGTGGAGACCCCGAGGCTAAGGAGGAACCTGGGGAGTGGGGGGAGGGGCGGGCGGGGCCACTGGGGTGAGTGCCCAGGGCTGGGGGCGGGTCTTGGGACTGGGGACTGTAACTGACCCAGTTACTCCAAATGCCTTCACAGCCAGCAGGGTGGGTACCCCTCGGGGGCAGGAAAGGGGGGTGGCACAGCCAGACGACTCCTCGGTCCCTGAGTTGGGAGGAAAGAAAGGTGCAAAGAGACAGTAGGTTCTGGTTTATTGCAGACGGAGATGACCGGGTTTGGAGGAGGAATTCACAGTGTCTTGGTTACCCACAGTTCTACCTGTTCTTTCTGACCCCACATCCTCTGAATTCACCCTTATTTTGAAATCTCAACTTTGGGGGCTCGGTGGACAATATGGGGGTCCTGGGGATTAAACCTGGCTGGGCCACATGCAAGGCAAGCACCGCCCTGCTGTACTGTCACTCCAGCCTCTGTTTGTTTTGGAGGCTCACGCCCAGCGGTGCTCAGGGGTTCCCCTCGGCTCTGCACTCTGCAGTCACTCCTGGCGGTGCTCTGGGGACCTTATGGGGTGCCTGGGATGCGGCCGGGTGAACCACCATCAGGACCAGGGCCCTCCCCGCTGTGCCGTTGCTTCAGTCCCTGGCCCCACACTTTGAAATCTAGACTTAAATTTTCAAGTGGTATAAAAAATTCCTTTGGGTTTGAGATTTCCTTCTGAAATGGAAGAGCACTATTTTGCATTCTTTTTGGAGAGAGTTGGAGGCTCTGCCTGTATCACTGACTCTGTGTTTTCCCAAAGACCATCAGGGGAGACAGGAGTCCCTGGAGACCCCCCAGGAAGCCCTGGGCCAGGCACCCACTGCAGTGTGGGGGGCAGGTGCTGCCAGGCTGCTGTCTACTGCCTTGAAGAGATGGGGGAGTTTGGGGGTGACCAAGACCTGAAAAGGCTTTTTTAGTGCAAGAAATGCCTCCTACAACTGCTTGGGCTGAGTCCCTCGGGAGTGCAGAAGCAAACGTGGGGGCAGCCATACCTGTCAACCTGTCACACCTGTCACCTGTCATGTATGTACCTGTCACACACCTGCCATAAGCCTGTTCTACCTGTCACATACACCTGTCATGTGCCTGTCACATACCTGTCCGAATGTGCTGCAGGCATTGACTGGTTTGTTGTGGAGTAAGGTAGGGCTGTTTCCACTGTAAGAGATCAATTTTCTGTCGGTCTGTTCGTGGGTTCTCGGGATTTGGGCCTCAAGCCTGCAGGGAGAAAGCGCCCCCAGACCAATCCCAAGGGCGGGGTGGACAGACTCCGTCTGACTCTTTAGTCCTTCACCCCAAGGACATGAGCTGTGTCCTTTCAGATGGTCCAGCCCCCTCAGTATCCTGCCCAAACTTGTCACCTGAACTGTGTCCCTTTAGATGTTCCAGCCCCAGGGGCTCTCCATGTCCCTAAGCCCGGGAATGAGCCATAACCCAGAGCTAAGGCTCTTGCCTGCCACATGCCCCCTGGAGTTCTGTCTTCAGCACCGTCGCGCCCCCGAGCTCCACAGGAGTGACCCCAGAGCCCAGCTGGCCATGGCCCAAACCCCTAAATAATCTTCCCTGGCCTAGGGGCCCAGGAACGCTGAGCTGGGTGCTCTGCTGATGACCAGCCCCTCGCCCCTTCCTTTCCCACAGGAGGCTGGAGGAGGGGTTGGGCCCAGGTGCACCCCCTGAGGAGCAGAAGAACGTTTCCCCCGGGCTGTTCTTGTCTTGGGGTTGCAGGAAAGTGCTGTCATGGGGGTCGCGTCCAGACTTGGCCCCGGCAGAGCTGGGCAGCTTCTGTCCTGTGAGGGTGCCGAGTGGAGACTAATCATGCAGGGAACGCCGGGGGCCAGTGACTAGGGCCCAGGCCCAACCCCAGCCCCGGAGCAGGGGAGTTGGCTGGTGTCCCCTTTGCCCTCCGGGGACAGGCTGACCTGAATATGGGGGTTCTGGGGGGTGGCTGGGGTCTACCCAGTGTCATGCCAGGCTGGAGCTACTCACGTGGGCATGGGTGTCCCAGGAGAGGGTGGCCTTCCAGTCATGAGTCTGAGGTGTTGGGGAGGCCCCAGTTCTGTGCTCTCAGAGTCTTGGGGGCCAGTGGCCACGCACTGACCCTGCCCCCCTCTCTTGCAGACACCAAGAGCAATGCTGGTCTTTCGCACTCTGGGCCGAGCCCGGGGCCTGGCCCCTGCCCCCCATCTGCCCATCCCGCCCTGCCGCTGTCTCTGCAGCTCGTCTCCGCAGATGCCCCCTGACGCCAGCTTCCACTCGGCCTCGTCCCCTGACCCCGAGCGGCCGCGCATCCTGATCACAGGTCAGGCGAGCTCTTCAGTGTTGTGGGGTGCTGGGTGCTGCCCCGTGCCCCTGCCCTCTGCTGCTGTCTGGGTTGGTCCTGTGTCCTCGGCCCCTCGAAACTATAATGGGGCCATCCGTCACTCTCCAGGGCCTCTCAGGGGCACGGGTCCCACTTTGTATGTTTGTCACCCTCGTCGCATTTTGTTCTTTTGGGGGCTGTGTTCAGGCAGCCTCAGGTCCCCTAATGATTCCCAGCCAACTGGGCTGGCAGTTCAGTGCTTGGGTCCGAGGATGTGGCCCTGCCATGCTGAAGTCTCCCCTGGCTCCCTGATGGTGCTCGGGGTCGTGGGGCGCCCCAGCTGCTGTCCTGGTCCCCAAGGCTGCGGGTGCAGTGGGCATGTGAGTGGCCTGGATGCCTGGGGCAGAACGAGGCGGGTCCCCCTCACGGAGCAGGGGCACTGGGTGCCTGCTAGGTGCGTGCCCCTGTTCATGTGGCAGTGTGGCCGTTGGTGTGACCTGTGCCTGTGTTCACGTGGGGTGTGAACTGTTCACGGAGTGGCGTGTCTGTTCACGTGCCCTCGTGGCACCAGGGATGGCAGTGACTTGGTTGCTGTCCTGACCTTGCTCTGCACCCCGTGCCCTGTTTGTTCTTCTTCACCAGGGGGTCTTGGCCAGCTTGGAGTGGGGCTCGCCGACTTGCTGAGGTAAGAACTGAAGTTGGAATGTGCGTCTACGTCTCGTGCCTCGAGTATGTCCTCTGTCTTCTGTCCTCTGCCCTGTCTGGGCCTGGTCAGAGCCTGTCACAGGCCAGCCCTGTTTTAGGCTCGGTGATTCTTGATGAGTCTCGATTCCGAGGTGCGGGGGGTGGGAGACAGATCGGGCCATGTGGGGCTGGAGCAGAGCTGAGAGGGTGCTGTCAGGGTGTGGGTGACGGCACCCTGGATGGAGATGGTGGTGCTGTCACGGAGGTGTGGGGTGTGGGTTGAGGGGCACCCGGGAGGGAGCTGATGGTGGAGGCCGGGGGGTGGGAAGGCGGGAGGCAGCAGGAACGGCAGCGCGACCCTCACGTGCCCCTGGCCTCCCTCAGGAAGCGCTTTGGGAAAGACAACGTGATCCTGTCAGACATCAGGAAGCCCTCGGATCACGTTTTCCGCAGTGGTAAGAGGGAGTGGACACTGGCATGGGCGCGAGCTGTGGCTCTTCGAGGTGTGTCTGCGGGTCCCCGGGTCCCCTTTGAGGGTGAGTGGCCTCCTGCCTGTGGTGCCCTGTCCAGGAGAGACCCAGGCAGCCTCTGGTTCTTCCACGAGGAAGACGGTGTTAGTTAGCGGCTGGGGGCTCCGGGGGTGTGGGGGTGCAGGGAGGGCCGCTCGTCTCTGACCTTGCACGTGCTCTGCCCGGTCGGCCCAGGCCCTTTTGTCTATTCAGACATCCTGGACTACAAACACCTCCGGGAGGTAGTGGTCAACAACCGCATCAGCTGGCTATTCCACTACAGCGCGCTGCTCAGTGCCGTGGGCGAGGCCAACGTGTCCTTGGCGCGTGCTGTCAACATCACCGGTGGGTCCCGCTGGCTGTCTGGGTCTGGGGAAGGGGGTTGGGGGCTGGGGGGTGTTGCCCATTTCAGGGGCCATGTGCGCATGTGTTTGTGTGTGTGTGTAGGTTCCTCTGTAAGTGTGCACATGTGTGTGTCTGCCTGCCTGTGTGTGTGCGTGCAAGTGTTTTTGTGCGTGTGTATGTGCGCGCCCAATGTGTGCATGTGTGTGTGTGCCTGTGTGAGTGCACATGTATGTGCCTGTGTGAGTGCACACACATGTGTGAGTGTGCATGTGTATGAGTGTGTGTGTGTGTGCGCGTGCGCCTGTCCACACGTATTTCCCATGAGGAATCTCCTGCCAACCCCGTTTCCAGTCCGGGCTGCGTGTGTGACCCACGCAGGTCACCTGCCATTTCCGCCCATCCGTCTCAGGTCTACACAACATCCTGGATGTGGCGGCCGAGCACGGGCTGCGGCTGTTTGTGCCCAGCACCATTGGCGCCTTTGGTCCCAGCTCTCCTCGTGACCCGGCTCCGGATCTCTGCACCCAGAGGCCCCGGACGATCTACGGGGTGTCCAAGGTCCACACGGAGCTCATGGGCGAAGTAAGCTGTGGTGGGCCGGGAGACAGATGGTCGGTGTCACCTGCCCTCGGTTGTGCTTGCACCGCGGGGGGTGTGGTCAGTCTAGACTGTGCCATGGACCCGCCCTAGCACCGCCCCTTACTGCCCCACTTTCTCTTGGCTGATGGCCACTGAACTTTGTGGTAGGGGACATAGCTGTCCCCTTGCCCTGCCCTCCCAGAGCTGCTGGGCAGAATCTTTAGGACCGTGAGTGTAACTGTCTCCTGAGAAAGATCAGACGTCCCTAGTCAGGCTGATCCAGCTTCTAGAACTACATAGCGTACACACACACACACACACACACACACACACAGATACAAAGCATACACACACATACATACATATACACACATACACACACAGATTCAAAGCATACACACACACATACACACACACATACACACAGATACAAAGCATACACACACACACACAGATACACAGCATACATACACATACAGATACAAAGCAGGCAATTAACCATCTTGTGTTTGTGCCACACCCATGGTGCTCAGGGCTTCCCCTGGCTCTGTATCAGGGATCACCTGGTGTACTCAGGGGACCATTTGGGGCGCCAGGGATCAAACCCAGCATGTGCTAGGCGAGTGCCCTGCCCACTGCACTGTCTGTGGCCCCTGTGGGAGTGTTTCACTGTAGCCGCATGGGATGTCATTGCAGAGACCGCCAGCCCTGGCTTGCCCCACCTCGTGTGACGGGGCTTTTGAAAGGACCTTCTCTCCCTTGTGCAGTACTATCATCACCGCTATGGGCTGGACTTCCGCTGCCTGCGGTACCCCGGGATCATTTCTGCGGACACCATGCCCGGCGGGGGAACCACAGGTAGGTGCTGCCCTGCCAGGTCGGGCTCCCCACAGCCCTTGGGGGCCTCTTGCGGGGTGTCCGGGTGGCTTGTGGAGCTTCAGCCCTGTCCTGGAATGCAAAGGAATGTGTGACCCACGATGTAGAAGAGGCGGGTAGCCAATGGCTTTTGGGGGCTGGAGCAATAGGACAGCGGGGAGGGTGCCGACCTTGCACACGGCTGACACGGGCTCGGTCCTCGGCATCCCACAGGGTCCCCTGAGTGCTGCCAGGAGGATTCCTGAGTGCACAGCCAGGAGGAACCCCTGAGCATCACCAGGTGTGACCCAAACCCCAAAACTAAGAATAAAGACACAGACTGTGCTCTGAGTACAGGCTCTGTCCTGGTAGAGTCCACTCACGGCGGCCAGAATGCCCTGCTCGGGGTTGGAGCGATAGCACAGCGGGTAGGGCGTTTGCCTTGCACGTGGCCGACCCGGGTTCGATTCCCAGCATCCCCTGTGGTCCCCTGAGCACTGCCAGGAGTAAATTCTGAACGCAGTCAGGAGTAACCCCTGTGCATCGCCGGGTGTGACCCCAAAAAAGCCAAAAAACCCCAAAAAACAGAATGCCCTGCTCATCATAGGTGCAGTTTCTTGGCATGGGGACCCTCTCCTACCTGCTGGAGGGCTGAGGCCAGTAGGGGGGGCAGATGATTCCAGAGAGGCCATGTTTCCAAGTGGGCACTGGTCTGGGTCGCCTTGAAAAAGCTTTGGGTGGCAGGAGAGGGAGCATAGAAGCTGGTGCGCTGCTGCTTGTTGGCCCTGGTTTGGCCCCTGAGCACGTGGCCAAGACTGCCCAGACCCTCTCAGCAAACAGAGAAAAGCCTGTGCCTGGAGCCGCCTCTTCTCAGGGTGTGAGTGGGCCCAGCATGTGAGACTGATTTTCTCTCCCCAGCGTGTCCCGTGCTTGGGTTTCATGAGACTGTGCATGCAGGGCCAGCTGCTGGTCATGGTCTTGGCAGGCTGGTCGGGAGTGTCTGACCAGGGCCTCTTCTTCCCCCCACCCCTCCTCCACCCCTGGGTCTTTGTGCTTTTGAGCCTAGCATGCATGAGGAGTCCACCTTGCTGTCAGAGACTCGGGCCCAGGGTCCCAAGAAGACCCCTACACATGCATGCCTGCACACATGTACATACGTGCACACACATGCAGGCACACAGCCGTGGCTCTCTTCCAGACTACGCTGTCCAGATCTTCCATGATGCAGTCAAGAGCGGCACGTTTGAGTGTAACCTGGAGGCGCACACGCGGCTACCCATGATGTACATCGAGGACTGCCTCCGGGCCACGCTGGAGGTGATGGAGGCCCCAGCCGAGGCCTTGACCCTGCGCACCTACAACATCAATGCCATGAGCTTCAGCCCGCAGGAGCTGGCCCAGGAGGTGGCCAAGCACATCCCTGGCTTCCGCGTCACCTACAAGGTGGAGGCTGTCCGCCAGGCCATAGGTGGGTCGTGGTTGCCGCAAACCCTCCCCGGGGTCCAGGCTGGCGGGAGCAGGTCCTTCCCACTCGGCAGAGGGATCAGCGTTGGGTGGGGCGATGAGGGGGAGGACATGGTTTCCGGCAGCTGGGCTCCTGCCATCCCAGCGAGCTGACTGCCGGCCCCGAGGCGGGAAGGCTCGGCATGACATCGGCCTGGTGTTCCAGTGCTGGACAGTCCCCCGCTGGCCCTCTAACCGGGCAAGTTTGGGCAGAGTGTCACCATTCTTGGCCTCGCGGTAGCCATGTGACCACGGTGCTGGTCTGTTCACATGGAGACTTTCCCGCCTGGGCTGTCAAGAAAATATTCTAGAACTTTCTGTGCCAGAGCCCAGGTCACCTCAGCTGCTTTTCCCTCCTCCCAGCCGAGAGCTGGCCCATGAATCTGGACGACAGCCGTGCCCGCCAGGACTGGGGCTGGAAGCATGACTTTGACCTCCCGGAGCTGGTCGCCACCATGCTGCATCTCTGCGGAGCCCACGGCCAGGCGGCCCGGGCCAGCTGAGCCCCACAAGGCCACCAGCACTGCACTCAGTCCTGTGGTCCCCCTCACAGGCTCGGGCTGGCACCAGTGGCTCCGGGGAGGGGTGGTGTGTGTGTCTTCACCGTGCCCAGCTGCCCCCATGTCACAGGACACGGGTGGACCTTGTCACCGTGTCCCTTTCTCCTGGGAAGTGGGACCCTATGATGCTGTACCAGAGCTAATTAAAGTTGATTATCACCCCCAGGCTCCAGTTGTTCTCTTGGCCGGACATTGAAGGTTGCAAAGCCATTTTTTGAGGAGGGCGTTGTTTGTGTGCTCGTCATTTTAGCGGAAGCACCGTGGTTTATAGTTATTCATAGTTGAGTTTTAGACATGCAGAATCTCCGCGTAGATGCCACCTCCAGTGTCCGCTTTCCCCCACCAGTGTTCCCAGACCCCACCTGCCCTCCTGACAGGCGCCTGGCTAGGTAACTAAAGGTTGGGTGTCGTGATTTCAGGGCAGTCTTGGACATGTGGACTCTGCCTTGGGTATGTGGCTCCCTCACCCCTTCCCGCCCCCTTTGTGCGGACTCCCTGCCTGGTCCCCCGCTGCTTCTCATCTCTCTTCCCCTCCCCCCCCCCACCTATGAGTGAGCCTATGTTTGTCCTGGCTGACTTCACTTAACCTGATGTGTTCTCGTGCCATCCGTTGCCTCGAATGGCATGGTTTCTTAATTACCATCAGCTGTGTGGTATTCCGGACAGAAACGTGGATCATGAAGATGTTTTTTTTTTTAAATCATGAAAGATGCTCTCCTGGAAAGTGCTCTTTGCTGACCCATCGGAGCCTAAGAAATGTGGCCAGATTGTCCCTGGGTACATGGACCGTCTGAGAGCGCGTCTTCAGCAGTGATGGGGTTCACGGCGTCCCCACGTGGCATTCTGCCAGATCGTGGTAGCCCTGGAAACTCTCGGAGAGACAGAGCAAGGAGGTGAGGGGGGGTCCTGTTTGCCATGTGTGTGTGGCCGGCAGTGTGGAGAAAGCCCTTACTGGAGCCACCCAGTCCTGGCAAGAAGTTTTACTGAAGAAGTTTTTCTTTGCTTGTATTTTGATGTAAGAGAACACTTCCCCTCATCTTCCTGACGGATTGCGTTTCGGCAGGATAGCTCTCACCCTGTGTGAGCAAGGTCTTGGGTTCGATCCCTGGCACCACAAAAATTTTTTGTGTGTTTTCTGGTAGGGGATCATACGGACCTATGCTCAGGGCTCACTGCTAGCTCTGTGCTCAGGGGACCCTTTGCAGTGCTGGGAATTGAACCCGGGTTGGTGGAATGCAAAGCAAACTCCTAACCCACTGTGCTCTGTCCGGCCCCGACAGTGTGTAAATTACTGAGAAGTGTGAAGATGGCCTGCATGTGACGGTTTATCCATTATAAGCCGCGTGCGCTGGGACAGTGTTCCGAGTGTAAGGGGAGGCAGGGCAGCCGAGCACGCTGTTCCTCAGCATTCCCATCAGAAAGGAAACTTCCAGTCGGCAGAATACGAGTCTCAGGACTTGGCAGCTCAGCTTTTTCTTTTTCCCCATCTCTATTTCACTTTAAAAATTTTAATTTAGGGGCTGGAGAGATAGCACAGCAGGTAGGGTGTTTGCCTTGCAAGCGGCCGACCCGGGTTCGATTCCCAGCATCCCATATGGTCCCCTGAGCACCGCCAGGAGTGACTCCTGAGTGCAGAACCAGGAGTAACCCCTGTGCATTGCCAGGTATGACCCAAAAAAAAGCAAAAAAAAAAATTTTTTTTTAATTTACAAAAAAAACAACAAAATTTAGTTGATTTTTAATTAAGGCGCTCTAATGTTTATCTGGTCTTACGGCACCAGCGCCTCCACCTTTGTCTTCAGGTCCTCTTCTGTGCCCCGGCCTCACTGACGGGTATGCTTTTTATATTTGGTTGGTGTAGTTTCTTAAAAGTCAAGTTAATTTTTAATTGGGGCGCTGTGGCTTTCAGTTATTCACAGCTGGGGCTGAGGTGTGCCGTGGCTCAGCCCTGGCCCCTCCACCCGTAACCCCAATCCCCCTCCCATTGCCCGGCCTCACCAACAGGCACATTTTCTTGTATTTGGTCATTGTAGTTGGGGCCCCCTGCTTCCGGTGCTGTTGTCTCTATGGCTTCGTTATATACAGCCCCGACATGTCCACGCAACAGGGCCCTGTCCCTTCCTGTGATCTCCCATTTACTTTTTTTTCCCTTTTTGGGCCACACCCAGCAATGCACAGGGTTTCCTTCTGGCTCTGCACTCAGGGATCAGTCCTGGCGGTGCTTGGGGGACCGTATGGGATGCCGGGGATTGAACCCGGGTCAGTGTGCAAGGCAAATGCCCTACCCGCTGTACTATCCTGCTGTCGGTTGGTGGACCCCTGCTTGACCCCTTACCCCTGCTCGCGTGCCTGGCGAGGGCCTTTGGCACGAATGTGTCTGCGGCTTGGGGTGGTGACCAAGGAGAGGCGTGGTGAAATTCTCTTCTGAGGCCCCTCCAGACGGCTGTCCACGGGCTGGGCCACGCAGCATTCCCAGAGGCAGTGCGTGAGTTTCCACCCTGTGCCTGCCAACATAGATGGTCTGTTTCCTTTGCCCTGTGACATTCTCACTGGTGTGACATGCACCATCGTCCTGGCATGGACCCCCTAATAGGCGATGCTGTGCACTTTCCACGTTGGCCGCCTCTGATTTCTGCAGAGAAGCGTCTGTTCATTTTCTCTCTCCAGTCTTGGATGGGGTTAGGGGATTTTGGGGGGTTGATCTCTGTGAGTCCTTTGTATATCCTGGATACCAATCCTTTATCTGACGTGTGGAGGGCAAACATTCTCTCCCTCTGGCATCGTTTTGTTTTAGCCCGTGTTTCTTTTGCTGTGCAGAAGCCCTTGCTAGGACGTCATTGCTTTGGTTTTAGTCCCTGTTGCCATGGCCAGAGTTAGTCACACGTGGAGGCATTTCCTGGAGGAGCCACAGGTGTGCATGGCTCTCACCTGTACGTGCCCTGTGCCGTGACCCCAACCTGGCTGCCTTCCTGAGCCCATAGGCACTCAGTCATTTCTTGTTTTCTGGCCCCCACGTTGGCTCTGAGAGGGCTCTTTCTACTCGCACCCATGCTGAAACCTTAAAATAACACGGGGTCGGGGAGATGGGCCAGTGGGCACACTCTAGTCTTGGACAAGGCCTGCCTGGGTTTGATCCCCAGCACCACGTGTGGCCCCCTGACCTCTGCCAGGAGTGATCACACAGCCAGGAGTGAGCCCCGAACCCTAGACAAATAAGTATTAAAGTGACCCAGTGCGACATTCCCACTTCCAATGAGTTAGCACCTTCCCTCTTTCAACAGGCGACAGTCTGTATGGCCTGCATAGTCCCCTCCATCACTCCCCACTCTTTTTCTTTGGGGGAGGTCACACCCGGCGATGCACAGAGGTTACTACTGGCAGTGATGGGGGACCATATGGGATACTGGGAATCGAATCAGGGTCAGCCACGTGCAAGGCAAATGCCCTACCTGCTATACTATTGTTCCGGACCGACTCCCCACTCTTGAACCTAAGCAGAGCTGCTTGGCTGTCTGGCCAGCCCCAGGAGCGGCCCCATTCACAGAGAGAAGCTAACACGCAGACATGGTGGCCTTTTGGAAACTCAGATTGGGGCTGACAGCACAGCGGGGAGGGCGTTTGCCTTGCATAGAGCTGACCCAGGTTCAATCCCCGGCATCCCATATTGTCATCCAAGCCAGGGGATAATTCCTGAGTACAGAGCCAGGAGTACCCCCTGAGCATCGCCAGGTGTGACCCAAAAAGCCAAAAGAAAAAAACCTATGGATTTCTCTCAGTTATGGGGTTCTTTGGAAAAATCTGCTTTGGAGTAGGATTTGCATGGTGTGGATTCTGACTGGCCCCACATGCAAACGTGTTTCTGTGTTCTGGAAGCAAATGGGGTTCCACTGGAGGGGGGCTGTGGGTGATTTTTGAGTCTCCCAGCTTTGGGGTAGTAGAGCAGGTGGGGTATTTGCCTTGCATGTGGCTGACTTGGGTTTCAATTCCTGGCACCCATTATGGTCCCTCAAGCCCTGTCAGGGGACCAGGAGTAAGCATGCGCATGGCCAGTATGGCCCCCAAACAAACACAAACATCATTATGATGCACCATCGTGGGCATTAAATCAAGCCTGAACGATAGGACGTTCAAGGAGCAGATTGCATCACTGTGATCGGGTCCCAGGATTGATGGGAAACACTCTATGGGCGTGCATGTTGTGTGTGTGCGTGTATTAGATGTGTGTGTGTGCATTTGCTGTGTGTGTGTCTTTGCTCTGTGTGTGCATTTGTTGCATGCATGCATTTGCTGTGTGTGTGCCTTTGCTGTGTGCATGTGCTTGCGTGTGCTTTAAATTAGTCTGAGTCAGCCGTAACTTGTTACCGGTTCCCTCCTCAGCCATGAATGAACAATCTCACAGCTTGTTTGACTTATATTTGTATGGGTCACAATTTAATCTTAAGCAGAGGAAATCTTTTCCGGATTCATCTCTTCGGGCCTTGCCATTTCCAGGGAACCCCAGGAGAAAGGGAACTTGAACTTTGCAAACTGCTTCCCTAGATTTTGCTTCGGGTTTCGGGAGAGTCCCACCCATGGTGCTCAGGGGTCCCACCACTGCAGCCCCTGGTGACTTTATTTGGCCTCAGGATGGGGCTGGAGCTGGTCCAGGCGATGTCATGTGACATGTCTCAGCCCACAGCAGACATGTAGGCAGGGAAACAGGGACCCGGAGTAGCTCAAAGGACTAGAGCACAGAGCGACCCCTAAACACTGAACTAGGAGTATCCCTGAGCACTGAGCTAGGAGCAGCCCTGAGCACCATCAAGCATGGCCCAAAGCCAAGCCATGTCTGCTGAGCGGAGGCCGTGGGCAGGTGTCTACACCAAAGACCCTAGACTCTGGGCAGGCCAGGACCCAGAGTCGCATTTGGCTTTGGCCTGGAGGAGCCGGATGGCTGCAGGGAA